CTTTCTATCCCCCCCTCCCTACCTTATTTATGTTAAACTCGGTATTGGGCAAAATTACTCACAAATGGCATAGGTTTGTGGCTGCCAAAAAGTAAAGAGGAAGCCCAAGGCCTTATTCACGTGTGACTGGAGGAGAGGGATTGACATTTGTATTGAGTAATCCTAACTTTTTATGTTTGGTATGCTACAATAAACATTTAATTTCAACACTACTTCCACCTTATATGAGATTATCCAATACTACCACCTCTTTGGTATTACAAAATTAATTTTGGGATTGATTTTCTGGAGATGAAAATGTCCTTCCAACATCTCTTCTTCGACTTGCTCATGCACAATAAGCGATCTCATTCAGATTTACATCAGAAGTGCCTCATCATTTATAATTGGAATAGAATCGAACGATGATGGCAGAAAAACCATGGTCAGCATGAGTACAAACAAGAGCCGACCCAAAGTCGGACGATGATGAGCGAGTTTAAGCGACAAGCCACCCTTTGCATCTTTGTGTTTTGCTTATGGGTTCTTTATTGTAGTTCCTCTTCGTTGTTTCTAGCTGGAACAGAATTGAACGATGATGGTGGAGCAACACTCCATGGACAACTCCAGCACGAGTACAAACAAAAGGGGACAAGCCACCCTCTGCGCCTTCATCATTTGCTTTTGGGTTCTTCATCATCGTTCCTCATCTAATTCTAGAGTTTCAGATCATGGGTTTTGATTTTCTAATTATGGGTCCATGAATTTGAATCAATGGTTTTTGATTTTCTGATCCTGATTGTAGTTCCATGAGTTTGAACTCATGGGTTTTGACTTTCTTATTATGGGTTTTGATTTTCTATTTGAGCGGAGTTTTTTTTTTTCCTTTGTATGGGTTGAGCAGCAATATGAGAGAAGACGAGAGCATTTTGGTCTCTACCAATTTTTGTTTGATATGAGACTTGTTTTTTTATTTAACGCGTGACATGTCAAACATGATCTCAAAAACTTATTTCCACTACTAATCTCATATCTAATATCATTCTTAATCCCATAAAAATACTTTGTACCAAACGGGTCTTAGTATCCATAATCTCTTACCATTTGAAATGATTGAGAATTTGAGATCAGTAGAAGAAGCATTTAAAATTTGTTTCATCTGAAAAGTTGCTTCATTTTTCTACTTTTGGTGCTTCATTGAAAACCTCAAAAAGCACGCAAATGCAAATGCCATACTCTCGCTGACGATAAAGCCTTGTACCGGATCACGGATACACAGGTCCATGCCTCACGTGCTGCCCCACGCCGAAGTCTCCCTGGTCTGGACCTTTCGGCGCAATTATTAAACTATTCCAGTATTCTCTTTCTCGTCTTTAACTTCTCTGTCTCCAATAATTTTTTTTTTGTGGGCCAACACTTTGTCTCAAATTTTTACCATTAGAAAAAAAATCAAAAATCGACGCCTGCACGCTCATCATAAAATTCATGAAAGGGGTGGAATATTATTCGCGTTGCGATAGAACTTCCTGTGTCTTGAAGCGATTATGGAATTGAATTCATCGAAGCGATGCGGCCTGATAAATGATAACGACCGTTTTGACCAGAAGATTTTTATATAACAGATTTTGTGTTGACAGGTGGAACATCGAAAGGACTTTATTGGCACTAAATTTGAGTCTGAACTTAGCAAACACTTAGGTCCGTTTTGATTATTAAAATTAAATAAATTAAATTAAATTATTTTTTTATAATAAGTATGATAAAATTTATTAATATATATTATAAATATAAAAATTATTATACACTCAAAAAATTTTAAAAATTATTATTTTTAATATCATGAATTAAATTATCATTTCTCCTTATGAATGTATTTACCCATTCCACTTAATTATTTTATTTTTATATTTATTTTTTAATTTATTTTATTCTTTTTTAATAAACAACCGGGAGAATGAAGTGCATCCCAAAATACAAAAGGCTACAATTTATTACAAGCTCGTAGCATAGGTGATATAGAACATTGGCAAATATTTTTCAATTTTTTTTAAAAATAAGTAAAACTTTAATTTTTTAAAAATAATTGTATATATTTTTAATTATACTTTCATTAAATACTACACACAAACGTCAATTGAAATTTTAATGTATTATTTAAAAAAGCAATAAATGAAATGGGAGTAAAATTTAAAAACAATTACAATATAAAAACTACTTAGTATCCTATATTTTTTTACCAAGGAAAACTTTTATAATATGCTACTCCCTCTATTAAAAAATGTAAAGCATTTTTAGTCTTTTAAGGTATAATCATTAATTTTTTTTAAAAATACTCTTATTGATAGTGACTTTATATTTATTGTAGAGTATTTAATAAGAGTAAATATAAAAAGATAGGGTTAGTTTGAAAGTAACTAACTAATTTATTGAGAGGTAAGATTCAGTTAAAAATGCATTATATTTTTAAACGAAGGGAGTATATATTATGGCATGGAGGGAGTAGCTAAGTACTTTTATCTAAGCTCAAAAAATATGTTGAGCAGGGATTTAGGTTTGGTAGATGACATAAATCTACTCATTTAATGAGTGTCTTATATAATAACATAACAATTGTTCAATTTAATCAAATGGTTAAAGAAAATTTTATCATATAATACTAAAAAATATATCAAATTCTAAAATTTTAGAGGAAATAATACATATAAGTAGTGTTCTGATTATGAGAATTGTTTCAAACTTTGGAAAGAAAATGTAATTTGATAATTTTTAAATATTAATAAAATTCAATATCAATAATTAAATATTTATTAAACAAGTGAACTTAGGTAATTTATAAAATTCAAATCCCTAAAACATACATTCAAAAATCTGCTAATAAATAAATCACATAAAAATTGACAATAATTAAAATTGAATGGGATTCTGACGCACTTACATGTGAAATTCCCTGCAAATCTCCAAGACTAGATATTAAAAAAAATGATTACTGGGCACTGAAGATTCTCTTTCGTTCCCTGACGTTTCCTGCTAGCACTTAAGCCTGATTGGTAGAGTTGCATTTTAACGATGGAAATAGAGTTGGAGTAGGAATTGTAACAAAGAGATGTTTGGTATATATAAATTAAAAGTCTCATGGATCATAATTCTATTGAAAAAAGCCTGAATCATTCATTATTTAAAGTTATGGAATCTAAACCAATTTTATAGAATTTTATTTTTCAAGACAATTTTATTCTTACAAAAAATTAAATTCACAACTTTGCCCTGAAAATCATGAGCATGAGCCTTGTGTGCGTCAAAAGCTTTTGGTCTTCAAATTGTGGTGGCTAACTTCAGCCAAAAAAAATGATAGTGGCTGAGTTTGTTTCTTTAGCTTTTTTTTTTTTTCTTGCTACTCTTATTTTATTTTTGTGTTCTTTATTCTGGTGTCACCGTGGGTATAAAAGTCTTTATATAAATTATAATAAATATAATATAGTATTATATATATTTATTATTATATATAATATTTTATTTATATACTAAATACATGAGGAAATTAAAATACAATCAAGCTTTTAATATATTTTTATTTTTATTTTAATTTATAGGGGTATTTTTGCCTTTTATATATAATTCTATTTTCATGTTTTGCATGCCAAACAAAAATAGTGTAACTATTTCATTTACCTTTTTTAATATATCAAACATATTTTTAATACTCAATTTAATTTCAATTTCAATTTTAATTTCATCAAAAAAAAATTTATTATACCTAACGAGACCTTACAGTTTCTTTATCGAGAAAAAAGTTGGCATGAGCGTGAGGAGTTAGGTCGCCCTTTTTAGTTTTGCTTGAGGCTAAAGAAAGGTTAAAAGTCTGAAACATTCAAAGTTCTCTTCCTGTTTCAATGTCATTTCATCATGATCACACGGTCAAACCCAGAAGGAGAAAACGATTTCAGGAAGAAAGAAACATGCATATGCATCCTAGGACTGGAATGAAAGCCAATGGGACCATACATCATCAACTAGCATGCGATTTTGATACCTGAAAGAAAGAGGACATGGAACAAACTTCACTCGTGTTTATGAATCCAATAAATGTTTTGGTCGTAAAATCCTGGATGGATCAGCAAACCGAGCAGAGAATGAACGACAGAGGTTGTCGGGCTCCATGGATCCTGTTCCTTGGTCAAAGTTCTTGGAGTATGTCTCCGGGTCATAAACTTCCTTCTTATCTCTTCTGAGTTTTCTCCATAGCATCTCCCACACCGTTCTCGTGCTGTCGTGGATCCGGTGGCCACGTGGTTTCGTGTAGCTTCGACCTAGACGGATGCTTTGAGTCCCATGACTGCCTGAGCTGAACGAGTACTTTTTCACATCCATTTGCAAAGGCACGCAAGTCTTGCTGAAGCGCCTATAGCTTTGAAGCAAAGTGAAAACCTTCTACATGAAGCTTCAAGCTTGTCACATGACATTATGATTATGATTCTGCTAATTAGGCCATAGTTATTAAGGACAGTGGGGAAGGAGAGAAAAGGAAGGAGTTTAGTTTTCTTCCAACGCCTTTGCCTTTGAAGTGAAGACTTTAGTTTTCTCAAGCGTGCTATTCTTCATTCTCATCCGTAATATATAATATCAAGTTGAATCCTCTCCTTTAAAAAAAAAAAAAAATGGCATTTGGCTTCAAAGGACGGGTTAGGAACGTCAAAGTTTTACTGCCGAAAGAGTCATCATTTGCCAGCCGTCTTCCTATCCGTTTCTGTCTCGGGTCCTTGAAACGCAAGGATACTTAAAAAATTCAGATTATTGATGCTGAAATGAGGCTCAGTAAGGATTAGAACACACTCAACAACCACCATACATGTTACAAAGCCAAACATGGAAGCCGTCGAGGAGATTCCTTTGTCCTTTTATAACTTACAAGTCAATGGGCGATGCGCAGAATTTTCTGATCCTGCACTTCGGACCTAAGGTGTCAAGTAAGGGGAATTAGATAGTCTAAACTTTAAAGCAAAACTTTTCATCTACGCCATGAGACCATGAACCAGATGATATTTTTCGTTCATATTTTTAGAGTTTATCTTAAAAAACTTGCAGTTCCAAGGTCACAATATCAGTGGGACACACATCATTGCGTGAATAAAAATGGCCAAGCCATGGCAAAATTTTCACACAAGAAACAGATTGATAAATTTGCATTTCCATTAAGAACACCTCCCCCCCCCCCTCTATGGAAGGCTGAATCAGACCATAGGTTTAAGATACATATGTTATCAGCAGTAAACCAAAGCTTTTGCATCGTCACGGTCTTGGAGCACCAACCTGTGAATGTGCGATAGACTTCAGTTTCTCATACGAATCGGCACAGGCATGGGCATAGTCTGACAGCGCTCGGAAAAGCTCAGGCAAACGAGTCTTGAGACTCTGCAGTGACTTCTCTCGAACCTGAACGCAGTGTTTTTGGTGAGATTCAATATCCTCTTCTAATTTCTTCTTCAAGCTATCCACGGCAAACTGCTTCTCTGATACAGGATTATTTGTAGTTACTTCGTCCCCTCTTTCATGATCTGCTTCATCATGACCCCTCCGCAACAAATACTTCTGATACCATTCTTCAAATGCTTGGTTTTTCCTCAAGTACTCCTTCCTGGTTTCCTCACATTTTTCCTTTAGTTTCATCTCTTCCTCCTGCTGAAGTATTATGGTCTTTATCACAGCAGCAAACGAGGAAATAGCTGATTTTGCAAGCTCATCTGGAAGCCTATCAACACAATCATGCCACGCTTGAAGGAGGGCTTGGATAGGTGGATTCTGGGCTTTTGGGGGCGATGAGATTTTCTCTTTGAGGCTGCTTTCGATGGGAATGAGATTTAACTTTAGCCAACTATTAAGAGCTTGGATGTATTGTTTCTGGTGAGCCACAAACTTCTCAAATTGTAAATGCCACTCTTGGACAACATTAGAAAGTTGTACTGTCCGCTCATAATGATGCTTGGTTGTTTCCTTAGGAGCTTGAGAAATATCTAAGGATTTCATATCTGTAACTATTTTCAGCTGGTTGTCATGATGCACGCACATATTTTTCCACATATCGGCCATCCTGAACAGATATCATGTACATTCACATATAAAGACACACAGAACGCACATACAAAATTATCTTCCAAGTTCTTGATGCATCACCACAAATTTACGGAATACCATAAAACAATAAAATGAGGCAACACTGATACAGTAATACAGTGATCTCTTTTATTTCAGACTGGTAATGGTAACGGTAATACTTACCCATTAACAAGAGCAACGAGTTTTGGATATAACTGTGCATCACGAATGTGATTCACTTCTGAAACTGTTGAATCCATCGACTGCATGTCAACAATATATCTTGTATGTAGATGGCTTACAGCTGCTTTGGTTTTTTCCAATGATTCAGCACTTGCATTGCGTTTCTTCTGTTTGTTCAGTAATGTAACTTTTCTCTGATATTCAAACTTCATCAGCTCAGCTTGCTGTTAGCAAGGCATGAAAGTCAGAAAGGTGTGAACATTTAATAAAAAAGTCACACGTCAAAGATCAGCTCCACGCAATTATTCTTAAAGAAAAAATTACTTCGAGTAGAAAAAAGACTGCATCTTCAGCTGCTTAACCAAACATTTGGAAACTCAGATTCCTTGGTTTACAAAATTGTCACTGTAAAATTACACCTACCTTCACCTCTTCATACAGCTTTTTTTCCCAGGCTAGAAGCTTGTCCAAGACAGTGGCATGAGTTTCATAATCTTCCGAATCAAAATCATCCTTTGATCCATCGCCATTAGACACACCTCTGAATGACCTATTCCATGTTATCACGCGCATAACTCTAGCGGAATGATCAATATGTCCTACTCATACAACCGAAAGTTAGTTCAAACATTTATGCCCAACAATGAAAAAATGAAACGGCATGTGATGTCTCGGCAGGCATAAATTATTTCATCTCTTCAAACTGATAATTAGTGACAGCATACTTATACCGGGAAGGGTATCGTAAGTGAAGTTATCACGACATTTGAGAGAATACACAGGGTCTTACCCTTTTGATCCAAAAAACTCTACAAGCATTCATAGGTTGGGCAAGAAGTTATTGTCTTTCAGAATGCAGATGCAAGTTAGACGATTAGACTCCATAACTAGTTGTTTCTTCTTAAATACTTACATAGGCAGTGTGGTGATAATGGTAGTAACAAAGGTTTGAAAAGGTGAGTGGATTGATTCATACAAATCCAGTAACAGTCATTGAACAACGGATTTTAATGGAGAAGAACCTATAGTATGTGTTGTATCCAAACAAATATAGAGTGGTCAACTTTGCTAAAACCTGATGTAGATTGATCAACAGTTTCCAGATAAATTAAACCAAGTTTAACAATATAAAGAGGGAGCATCCAGAGGGAATCTAGCAAAAATGATGATCCCAAATTACTCAATGCATCATTGGCAAGTTACTTAAGTTTGTAGGAGTTGGCCAAAAAATAATTAAGCTTGTAGCAGATATAAAATATTTGAGAACCTAAAACATAAGCCTAAAGCACATAAAAATATATATTGGATCAGCGCCAACCGTGGACATTAACTAAGATTTTGTCATGATGCTTTCAGGGGGAATAGATGTAACAAAATTACCCCGATTATCGGCGAAATTTGAATGGTAGTGTAACCTAGTGGCCTCAAGCATCCTGGTAACCTCTTGAGCACTCTCGAAGGCCTTCAAGAAATTATCGTCAAGCTCACTCAGAATCTGCATCAGATTAACACTTGGAACCAACTTCATTGCTCTCCTAAAGTCTGGTGGAGCAGTCTTCGAATGTTCAATATGCTTTGGGTCCTTCACAGACTCTACTATCTCCTTCTGCACATTTTCCTCTACCTTCTCCGGCGTCTTGGGTTCAACCTCATTTATATTGCTTCTGCCGCCACCCACATTCTCAGCTTCATGATAATCCATTGCTTCACTCTCCTCATTCTCATTCCCAATCTCATCCTCCCCGCCCAATGATGGTCCTAGCATATTGTCCGGCAAAAAAAAGTAATCCCAAGCCATACCCTTCGATTCTGGCATAGGCGGGACTGACTTCATATCGGGAGTCCGAAGCGGGAAAGACGACGCTGCTTCAGATCCTCCCTTTTTTAACGCCTTCCCTCCATTACCTTTGTTCACTTTAATATTTTCTTCTTCACCTTCACCTTCTTCAGCAATGGCGTCGGAATCCATCGCGCGGGAGGGTTTTTGATGTTGCATAGTGACTACCGGCATTGTCGCAGCGCGCTTAAGCGGCGGGCTTGGAGAGAAATTTGGGAGCGGCGGCGGAGGTGGCGGGAGGTTGTCTTCCATGAGCGGTGGAGGCGGCGGTGGCGGCTCCGAAGCGGTGTCCAATGGCGGCTCGTGGAGCTCTTGAGTGATGTGGCTTTCGCCGTGGCCGTAGTCGCTCAGTGCAGCTCCAGTGTTCTTCAGCGCCATGGCGTATCCGGAATGGCCGGCGGCGAAGGCATTCCGAGCAACAACCACATCTTTCATCAAGTTCTTGCGTTCTTTACAGCGAGCCACCGATTCTTCATTGTCTATTTTCGACTGCGCGCAACCCATTTGTGAGTTGGGAAGTATCCTGGGGGTGTGTCAGAGGGGAAAAGGCTTTGCTTTGAGACTAAAATGGAGAGATGAAGTGATTATATCATGCTAAAAAGATGAGCTTCCAAACAACGACGATTTTTTGGCCGCCCGAAAAAAAAGAAAAAACACAACAACGGCTTGAAAATCTTGAGGGGGGGTTAGAGGGAGGGGGCAAAGGATTCTTGTTCCAGAAAGAGGATGCCTGAGGCTAGCTGGGAAATATGTCGAGCATAAAGGTAGAGATGGAGAGTGAGATACAGCCACGAGGCAGTACGGACATGATGAGGGCAGTGTGAGCAGAGTGCAAAGAACAGAAATTTGCGTAGTCCCCGAGAGTAGAAAATTGAACGTACTCGCGATATTTGATCACTAGGTGTCCTGCCAACATATTTTAAAATAACGGTCACATATTTTGAGGAACAGCACATTGGAGATTGAGCCCCAGGGAATTTCAGACCCTTCGTTAATTGAACCGGGGTGATTGTTCGGTGAAAAATAAAATGAGAAAAGGGTAAAGGCATTGCCAAATTATTTTCGGGGCGTGTTTGCTTTTTCATTTTCGTCTAGCAAAAGTTTATTTAAAAAATTTAATAATTTATTAGATTTGGTAAAAGTAGATTTTAAACATACTTAAGAGTTATCCAAATAAGTTCTAAGTTTACATTCAATTATCATAAAATTAATCTCTCAAAAATCCCGTGATTATTTAATAATTTAATGCTTTTATTATAAATATTAATATTAATGTTAAATTTTAACAAAAAAATTTAGCGTCAAATTTTGAAATAGGGTAAAGGATCAAAAATATTTATAAAGTAGTCAGCCATAAGCACCCAATATCCTAGAGTGACGAAAAAGATAAAAATATCCATAACATTACATGGAGTGGTGCAAAAATAATTAGACCGTTAACTTTGACCTAACATCATTAACTTTTATCATAAAATGCTGACTGCGCATGCCACGTGTCAGTCTTTACTGATGTAAACTAAAAAGGGCAAAAATATCTACGAAATCATCAATTAGGGGCAAAAATACCCATACCATTACTAGAATTAGCGCAAAAGTGACCAATACATTTAATGCCTTAAATGTTGACTATTTAGCTGACATTTAAGCAAAAGTTGATTATTTTTTTCACTGATGTAGACAAAAAATATTCCTAGATCAAATTCTCTAAAAGTTAATTGGTTATTATATGAATATCATGTGAGAAAATGTCATTTTAATTGAATATCAAATTAAATTGCTAGTTTCTTTGCAGCAGTAGCGAAAATCATTTGAAGATTTTGAATCTATCATGAATGCAATTACTTAAGGTTGTGACAATGTTCTTAAGTTAGATGTGCTTAGTCTCGATCTTCAATTTTGAACCTATCTCATTATATTAAATCTTAAGTTTTGCAGACAAAAAAAAGAGTGAAGAAGGAGAAAGGAAGGGGGCGAGATACGTGGTAATGGAAAGAAATCATATGACACTGATTTTAACAGATTAATCACTTTGCATCTACTAAAGTAATATTATAGGTACTCATACAATGATCGATCAACATTCATAAAAATTTATTTTGAAATATTTTTGTTCTAAATCAGCAAAAAAATAGTCAACTTTTACTTAGATGTCAAATAAACAGTCAACATTTAAGAGATTAAATGTATTGGTCACTTTTGCACCAATTCTGATAACATTATGAATATTTTTGCTTCTGACTGATGACTTCGTGGTTATTTTTGCCCCTTTTTTAGTCCATGTCAATAAAGACTGACACATGGCACACACAGTCAGCATTTAACGATCAAAGTTAATAGTGTTAAGTAAAAGTTAATGGCTTGATTACCTTTGCACCCATCCATATAACGTTATGGGTATTTTTATTGTTTTTATCACTTTAGGATACTGGATGCTTGTGGCTGACTACTTTGTGGGTATTTTTACCCCTTTATCCTTTGAAATATCAATGTTAGATGGTCAGATATCAGTGCTGCATTACTTGATAACAGTTGGTCCATTACTATATTTTTTATTATCTTTCATTTAAACTAGATAGTTTCTGTGCATGGGTTTACATTAAGAAATTTAAATAAATATCATCAACGCCGTTACTATTGACATACTTGAGATAGCTAAATTTTTAATAGTTCATCTATTCAATCATTTTTCATTTTACATACTTTATTTGTATACATTTTGTCATTATTTATCGAGCCTATAGTAAAAAATCTACCTAAAAAATACATATTTTTAAAGTGCTTAGAAAATATTGGCAAAAAAAGGGATAAAAGAGCAAAAATACTCACAAAGTGATCAGCCACTAGTCCCAATATTCTAAAGTGAGGAAAAGAGTAAAAATGCCTATAACATTATATAGATAGGTGTAAAAGTGACAAGACCGTTAATTTTGACCTAAGACCATTAACTTTGGCAACTAAATGTTATACATGTCACGTGTCAATTTTTACTGATATGGACTAATAAAGGGATAAAAATACATACAAAATCATTGGTCAAGAGCAAAAATACCCATGAAACTATAGGCCAAGAGCAAAAATACATATAACATTACTGGAGTTGGTGCAAAAGTACCAATATCTAATCCAATCTCTTAAATGTTGACTGTTTAGTTGACACCTAAACAAAAGTTGATCATTTTTTCCTGATATAGATAAAAAATATTCCTAAATAAAATTCTCTAGAGGTTGATTAGTCATTGTGTGAATATCATATGAGAAAATGTCATTTTGATCGAATATTAAATTAAATCGCTTGTTTCTCTACAATAGTAGTGAAAACTATTTGAAAATTTTGAACCTATTACGAATATAATTGCTTAAGGTTGTGATAATATTCTCAAGCTAGACGTGCTCAGTCTCGATCTTCGATTCTGTACAACCTATCTCATTATGTTGAATCTCAAGTTTTACAGATAAGAAAAGTGAGTGGTGAGAGAGAAAGGAAAGGGGCAGGATACGTGATGATGGAAAGAAACCATGTAATATCAATTTTGATGGATTGATCATTATTACACATACTTAAGTAACATTGTGGGCACTCATATGATAATCGATCAACATCTGTAAAAATTCATTCAAGAATATTTTTTGTCTATATTAGCAAAAAAATAGTCAGCTTCTGCTCAAGTATCAACTAAATGGTCAATATTTAAGGTATTGGATGGATTGATACCTTTGCATAACTCTAATAACGTTATAGGTATTTTTGCTCCTAGTCTATGACTTTGTGGTTATTTTTGCTTCCTTGTTAGTTCACGTCACTGAAGAGTGACACGTGGCATGTACAGTCAACATTTAACAATTAAAGTTAACAGTATTAGGTCAAAGTTAAAGGTTTGATCACTTTTATACCCATCCATATAATATTATGGATATTTTTATCCTTTCCTTGCTTTATGATATTGGGTGCCCGTGTTTGATCACTTTATGAGTATTTTTGCCTCTTTATAAAAAAAACTTATTTAAAATTATCAATAACTCCTCATTTTCAATTATATAAAAAAAATTGGACACAAGTATGAATTATGAATTATAATATAATTATATTTTCATGAATATGGATATAAGAAAGAATTTAAGAAGATCTCTCTTTTATTTTTAATTGTATTATTTATTTTTTTGTATTTGTTGTTCCGATTCTCCTTCTTTTTTATGTGCAAAACAAAAGGACTGTAAAAAAGATACCTCTACCACTCAAGTTTTGCCTGTTTAGAGTACTTTAATAGTCACCGTGTTATCTTATCAGCACGAAATATATGGTAAAGCATCCATAATTTGAAGGGTCAATATTATGAGACAAGGATTGATAATCCAAATCAAACTTAAACTTTTTTTATTTTCTTTTTACATGTAATGTTTATGGATGAGAGTTGATTGATATTGAGTATAATGAATCATGAAAATACATGAAAAATTAGAAAAGAAATTGAATCTCATTGATTAAGAAAATTAAAAAAGTTTAGAAAAATACAAAGAATGCAGAAGGACAGTTTAATAGAGTTAATGCTGACGATCAGGAAAATTTAAAAATGAAACTACTCTTAAATCAATGCTTTCCTGAAAGTAAGCTAAAAATATATGAAAAATATATTAAATCTCATTGATCAGGAAAATTAAAAATGCATGGGAAAGTATAACGAAAGGAGAATGATAGCAGGATAGGGGTAATGCTAATAATAAGAGGAATTTAAAAATGAGACTGCTTTTGAATTAATGCTCCATTAAAAGTAAACTGAAAATACACAAAAAAAAATTAAATTTCATTAATGAATCGAGAGAAATTTTTATATTAACATTAGCCTAAAATCTATTAACTAATGAGAGTTAATTTAAAAAAAAATGGAACTACTCTTGAACTAACACTCCTATAAAAGTAAATTGAAAATACAAAAAAATTAAAATCTCATTAAATCCTCCCATGAAATAGACTAAAAATACATGATAAATAAAAAAAATAAATTAAATCTAGAAAAATTTTTATATTAACATCGATATTAGCCTAAAATCTATTAATTAATGAGAGTTATTTTTTTTTCTAACAATCAAATTGAACTTATAAGATTTGTGTGTGTGTGTGATGATGCGCATTTTAGCCTCAAATTGTCATTTCCTAGATTAGAGAAAAGTGATTCCAAAATTGAAAAGCACTGATTCAGAATTAAGCCTTTTCATTGAATCATTTTTTTATAAAAATAATATTTTTTCCAGAGCATTGGTAATTCATAATTTATTTTGTCCTGAATTGGTAATTTACAATTACTTTTTTTAAAAAGATCGGTGAAATGTTAATCTTTTAAAAATCTTTATATTTTTAATTATATTTTCATTAAATGTTATATATAAATGTCTTCGTAATGACAATTAAAATATCAATATATTATTATCTTAGTAAGAGTAATAAATAAAGTTTAGATATAATAAAAAAATAATTATAAAAATTATCTAATATTTTATGTAAGATAATTTATAAAAAATATTATATATTATAACACGGAGGAAATGTGAACCAAAATTTTGCTGTGAGGTAAAAAAAGTAACCATCTAGCAAAAAAAGGAGGGGGAGCTTTAAGGTTGTTCATTTTTCTTATTCTTTTTTCCTACGGGTTCTCTTATTCTTTCTATTTTTTTTTAATAAGTTTGTATAACTTAAGATCCGTCTAGTTCAATTACATGTTTTCTTAAGAATTGTTTGGGTTTTTTATATAAAAAAGAGTAGGGTGGCTAAAAATTTTAAACCATTGTTTGGAAAAGAAA